ATAAAACAATATGATTATCTCAATAGATGCAGAGAAAGCCTTTGACAAAATTCAGCATCCATTTATGATTAAAACCCTCCAGAAAGCAGGCATAGAAGGAACATATGCCAACATAAAAAAAGCCATATATGATAAACCCACAGCAAACATTATCCTCAATGGTGGAAATTTGAAAGCACTTCCCCTAAAGTCAGGAACAATACGAGGGTGCCCACTCTCACCACTACTATTCAACATAGTTTTGGAAATTTTAGCCACAGCAATCAGAGAAGAAAAATAAATAAAAAGAATCCAGATTGGAAAAGAAGAAATAAAACTCTCACTGTTTGCAGATGATCCTCTACATAGAAAACCCTAAAGATACACCAGAAAATTACTAGAGCTAATCAATGGATATAGTAAAGTTGCAGGATATAAAATTAACACACCAAAATCCCTTGCTTTCCTATACACTTATAATGAGAAAACAGAAAGAGAAATTAAGGAAACAATTCCATTCACCACTGCAATGAAAAGAATAAAATACTTAGGAATAAATCTACTTAAAGGAACAAAAGAACTATATGAAGAAAACTATACAACAATGATGAAAGAAATCAATGATGACACAAATAGATGGAGAAATATACCTTGTTCATGGATTGGAAGAATTGATATAGTATAAATGAGTATACTACCCAAAGTAATCTATAGATTCAATGCAATCCCTATCAAGCTACCGAAGATACTTTTCAGAGAACTAGAACAATGTCACAATTTGTATTGAAATACAAAAGAAACCTCAAATAGCCAAAGCATTCTTGAGAAAGAAGAATGGAACTGGAGGGATCAACCTTCCTGATTTCAGACTATACTACAAAGCTACAATCATCAAGACAGTATGGTGCTGGCACAAAGACAGAAATATAGATCAATGGAACAAAATAGAGAATCCAGCGATAAATCCACACACCTATGGACACCTTATCTTGGACAAAGGAGGCAAGAATACACAATGGAGAAAAGACAATCTCTTTAACGAGTGGTGCTGGGAAAATTGGTCAACCACTTGTAAAAGAATGAAACTGGAACTCTTTCTAAGACCATACACAAAAATAAAATCAAAATGGATCAAAGATTTAAATGTAAGACCAGAAACTATAAAATTCCTAGAGGAAAGGATAGGCAAAATACTCTCTGACATAAATCACAGCAGGATCCTCTATGACCTACCTTCCTGAGTAATGAAAATAAAAGCAAAACTAAACAAATGGGACCTAATTAAACTCAAGGCTTTTTCACAACGAAGGAAACTAAAAGCAAGATGAAAAGACAGCCTTCAGAATGAGAGAAAATAATAGAAAATGAAGCAACTGACAAAGAATTAATCTCAAAAATATACAAGCAGCTTATTCAGCTCAATACCAGAAAAATAAATGACCCAATCAAAAAACGGGCCAAAGAACTAAACAGATATTTCTCCAAAGAACACATATAGATGGCTAATGAATCGCATGAAAAGATGCTCAACATCACTCATTATCAGAGAAATGTAAATCAAAACCACAATGAGATACCATCTCTTGCCAGTTAGAATGGCTGTCATCAAAAAGTCCACAAACAATAAATGCTGGAGCGGGTGTGGAGAAAAGGGAACACTCTTACACGGTTGGTGGGAATGCAAACTAGTACAGCCACTATGGAGAACAGTGTGGAGATTCCTTAAAAAACTGCAACTAGAACGGCCATGACCCAGCAATCCCACTGCTGGGCATACACACCGAGGAAACCAGAACTGGAAGAGACACGTGTACCCTAATGTTCATCACAGCACTGTTTATAATAGCCAGGACATGGAAGCAACCTAGATGTCCATCGGCAGATGAATGGATAAGAAAGCTGTGGTACATATACACAATGGAATATTACTGAGCTATTAAAAAGAATAATTTGAATCAGTTCTAATGAGGTGATTGAAACAGGAGCCTATTATACAGAGTGAAGTAAGTCAGAAAGAAAAACACCAAAACAGTATATTAATGCATATATAGGGAATTTAGAAAGATGGTAACAATGACCCTATATGCAAGATAAGAAAAGAGACACAGATGTAAAGAACAGACTTTTGGACTCTGTGGGAGAAGGTGAGGGTGGGATGATTTGAGAGAATGGCATTGAAACATGTATATTACCATATGTGAAATATATTGCCAGTCCAGATTGGATGCATGAGACAGGGTACTCAGAGCTGGTGCACTGGGATGACCCTGAGTGATGTGATGGGAAAGGAGGTGGGAGGGGGTTTCAGGATGGGGAACACATGTACAGCCATGGCTAATTCATGTCAATGTATGGCACAAACCCTTATGATATTGTAAAATAATTAGCCTCCAATTAAAATAAATTAATTAATTAGAAAAAAAGAAAAGAAAATAAGCTTGTTATTTTAGGTGTGGTACTAAGACTGCTTTCTCTAGTCAATCCTAATAGATAGCTTGAGATTTCACAAGGAATATTGCTATATCTTGCCAATATTGCCAAAATAGAAGATTTTATGTAAAATACATTTAATATCTTTACATATTTTGTCTGTGCTGAGTATAGAAGATGTTATCAGTTTACTGGTTAATAGAAGTTAATACAGTTATTTAAAAATAAAAAAATTTTAAAAAATACAATTACTTCAAAGCATTACCATTTTAATGGCAAGAAAGCCTCAATCCAGAAAGATTTCTATGAAAAAACTGGCACTGTAATCTTGAAGAGGAAAAAGTAGCTGAGCTTCTTTATTTTCTTGGAGTTTCTCTCATCTAATGTTATTAACAGTAACTTAGATATATTTGACAATAGAAAAATAAATCAAGTTAAATCTTAATGCCTTGCAAAAAAGTCAGTTTGTATTTTCATAAATTTAGTTCTCTTAAGCATAACATTTTTATAAGTTAACAAAATATATAATTGCATAGAAAATAAAACTAACAATATTAGTGAATATTAAGCTTAGGTATTACTGTATTCAGTATTTCCTATAAGTAGCACATCTAAGTATATTCACACTGGATTTAAATACTACTTCTGTGATTTTAAAAGACTGGATAAGAATATTTGTAGTTCTGTTTGTAGATTTTTAAGGACCTTCCATACTGTTCTCTATAGTGGCTGTACAATTTACATTCCCATCAACAGTGCCAGAAGCTTCCCTTTTCTTCATGTCCTCTCATTGATCAATTTTTCATGTGTTAGTTGGCCAATTTTATATTTTCTTTGGAGAAATGTTTATTTTTATCTTCTGCTCATTTTAATTTTTTTTTATTTTTGATATTGAGTTGCAAGAACTTTTTGTATATTTTTGAGATTGATCCTTTGTCAATTGCTCTGTTTACAAATGTTTTCTCCCATTCTGAGGATTTTCTTTTAGTCTTATTCACTACCATGTGTGTGTGTGCCCAGTCACTCAGTTGTGGCACTCTTTGTTACCCTATGGACTGTATGCCACCAGACTCCTCTGTTCATGGGATACTCTAGGTAAGAATATTAGACTGGGTTGCCATTTTCTCCTCCAGGGAACCACACTCCAGACCCAGAGATCTGACCTGAACCTGTGTCCCTGTGTTTACTTCATTGCAGGTGGATTCTTTACCAATGACTAGGGGGAAGGAGGAGTACTACTAGGACTACAGGACTTAAGTGGGATAGATACAGAAGCACTTATTTTAGCTCAGTTAATCCAACAAAATTAAAGACATATGCTTCAGAAGAGCACAAAAAAAAAAAAAAAAAAAAAGGCAGGGTGAGGAATTGGACAAAAGTGAGAAATTCTTCAATTTTGAGTACAATGGGTATTACTACTAGAATTCATTTCAAGAATCAAGATTCCACTTCTATAGCTTTCCTTAATGCACACTTCTTTAGATATCTGTAGATACTTAAGTTTTAATATAGTTTCTGTTTTTCTTTTCTTTCCTCTTATATAAAGTCCATTATAGAAAACTCAAACAGAAAGTAAAACAAAACTGATACAATAAGTAAGATAAAGCTACAGTTAATATTTTTTAATGTTATCCAAATTTTCTACATTAACATGAAATATCAATTTTGCATACCCATGCATACAAGAACATGCACAGACTTACATATGCATAATGGGATAATACCATTCTGATTTACTACCCCCTTTTAATGCTTGCACTTCAATTCATTTAGAGAATATTACTTAGTCTTCATTGTTCAGTTGCTAAGTTGTGTCCAACTCTTAATGACCCCATGAACTGCAGTGCACAAGGCTCCTCTGTCCTTCACTATCTCCCTGTGTTGGCTCACACTCATGTCCATTAAGTTGATGATACCATCCAACCATCTCATCCTCTATCATCCCCTTATCTTCTTGCCCTCAGTCTTTTCCAGCATCAGGATCTTTTCCAAGTAGTCAGCTGTTCACATGAAGTGGCCAAAATATTTCTCACAGAGAGAGTTGGTCTTTGTATTGTTGAATTAGTGTCTTCTTTGGGGCAAGGACAGTCTGGAGCTTCCTATTCCTCCAGCTTGCTGACTTCGTGCTCTCTGTAAGTCCTGTTCTTAAAGTTTTCCTGTTAATATGTATAAATGCAAAGGATCTTTCTAAAAATAACTTATAGCCTTAAAACTCTCTAAATTGCTTAGTTCTGCTAGCTTCTTTGGTATATTTCTGAGATCTTTCTACACATATGATGATGCAATTTGTGAATATAGATTTATTTCTTTTCTAATACCTGTATATTTAATATTGATTTTTGTCCTTTTGTACTGTTCAGATTTTCTGTACTATAATGAAAGAAGTATCAAAAAACTGCATTTAGATATCCTTACCCTTTCCCCAAGCCTAAGCATAAATATTCAGTCTTTATTCAAACCATTCTCCAAAAAGTGTTAATCTTGGAAGGCCGCGCGGGCCGCGGCGGAGGCAGGTGGGCTCCAGGCCCGGGCTCGGGCGCCAGGCCGCCAAGGCAGAGAGGCGCCCTCCGGCGGGCCGGGCGGCCGTCGTCATGACGCTCTTCCACTTCGGGAACTGCTTCGCCCTGGCCTACTTCCCCTACTTCATCACCTACAAGTGCAGCGGCCTGTCGGAGTACAACGCCTTCTGGAAGTGCGTCCAGGCCGGGGTCACCTACCTGTTCGTGCAGCTATGCAAGATGCTGTTCTTGGCCACTTTCTTTCCCACCTGGTAAGGCGGCATCTATGACTTCATTGGGGAGTTCATGAAGGCCAGCGTGGACGTGGCAGACCTGATAGGCCTAAACCTTGTCATGTCCCGGAATGCCGGCAAGGGGGAATACAAGATCATGGTTGCTGCCCTGGGCTGGGCCACCGCCGAGCTCATTATGTCCCGCTGCATCCCCCTCTGGGTTGGAGCTCGGGGCATTGAGTTTGACTGGAAATACATCCAGATGAGCATCGACTCCAACATTAGCCTGGTCCATTACATCATCGCCTCTGCCCAGGTGTGGATGATAACACGCTACGACCTGTACCACACTTACCGGCCAGCAGTCCTCCTCCTGATGTTCCTTAGCGTCTACAAGGCCTTTGTCATGGAGACCTTTGTCCACCTCTGTTCCCTGGGCAGCTGGATGGCACTGCTGGCCCGAGCGCTAGTGACAGGGCTGCTGGCCCTCAGCACCTTGGCCCTGTATGTCGCCGTTTTCAACGTGCACTCCTAGGCTTGGCATCCCAGACTTTCACATACCTTCTCCCCGTCCCCAGGTTCAGTGAAGTAAACAGTATTTGGAAAGTTAAAAAAAATAAAAAATAAAAAAATAATAAAAAATTTAAAAAAAGTGTTAATCTTTGTAGAGTCAAAACAGCAGAATTAAATGAAGATGTGATAAGACTCTTCACAGTTTCAAATTTTAAGACCTTTTATTAACTGCTTAAATTTCCTATGGGCTGAAGTATTGTTTGGAATTAACTAATTCCAAAGATTAGTTCTTACTGCTCAAGTTGTCACTGCCTACCATAAATAACTCTTATTATAGAAGACAACACACAATTCTGAATATTATTCCAGACAGTCAAGTGACCAACATTTAATGAAGTTGAAATACCAAAAATTTCTACTTGTAATTCAAAAAAAGAAAGAAATCCAAAGATTTAAGGAGAGAAGAATGTTCAGCTAGGTAGCTCAGTCAAGTCTGACTCTTTGCAACCCCATGGACAGCAGCATGCCAGGCTTCCCTGTCCATCACCAACTCTCAAATCTTGCTCAAACTTGTCCATTAAATCAGTGATGCCATTCAACCATCTCATTCTCTGTCATCCCCTTCTCCTCCTGCCTTCAATCTTTCCTAGCATCAGGCAGGGCCTTTTCCAATGAGACAGTTCTTTGCCTCAGGTAGCCAAAGTATTGCAGTTTCAGCTTCAGCGTCAGTCCTTCCAATGCATATTCAGGACTGATTTCCTTTAGGATTGACTGATTAGATCTCCTTGCAGCCCAAGGGACTCTCAAGAGTCTTCTCCAACACCAAGTTCAAAAGCATCAATGAGAGGAATGTTAGATTTGATTTAATCAAAGACCCATTGAATCAGTTGATCCAACTATGCCTCATAAAATGACATGAAGCACAATATATTTACCAAGTCTTCAAAAAATATTTTGAAGTGCAAATGTAGCAGTTTTTGTTTGCATGATGGCTGAATGTTTATGTTTTGCTTGCATGATGGAGCAAATGACTACAGGTTGTTCATGGACTCACTGGGATCACTATGAGATGAACCCAAGCTAAAATTCCATTTATTATTCAATGCCCTTAACTTTCTACTCTAACTGAAGGACCAAATAGGTGTTCTGAGTTTCCCAAGAATAATATTAACAGAGAGCAAACATTCAGTAATTCTCAAAAGATCTGGAAATTTTATTTTCCCCTTGAGCCCATTTACCTTGCAAACAACTTCTGGTCACCTTGAAGCATGCTGAGAAGAAGATTTACAGTAATTGTGTGTGTAGTACTGCAGAGCCTTTCCTTATTACCATCAGTGTCTTTTTTGAGAGTATCTAGGTTTGTGAACTGAATCATTCTGGGAACTGAATGAAAAATCATGAAGGCATCTCTTTCCAGATCAGATTAGGAAGCTATTGTCAGGTCTAGTTTTTTGTTGTTGCTGTTGTTATTGTCACAGCACGTTTTTTCTCCAGTTACAGTGTTGATAATAGATCTTAAGATTTTCCCATATATTTAATTTCCTATGAGCACAAAGATCCACTAACAACCATCTTTTACTGCTTGGGTCAAAGCAGTCTGACACAAAGGACCTTTATGAAAACTGCTAAAGTCCTGGTCCTTAAATAAAACTGTAAGCTCACATCTTCCATGGAGAAATGGAGAAGACTACTTCAGTGGAATAATCTCCAGTTTCACACATAGCTGACAAAGCTTTATAAATAATTTTTCATCTACACTCTTTTGTGGTGCTTAGTAGAGATTGAGTTCATGGGTCAAAAGGTTAAATCAAACCAACTTCTCTATTCCCATAAGGTTTTGAGTTTCTTCCTCAATGTTAGACTTTGATTCCTGGCATTTCAACTTATTTTACTGTTGGCTACTATTAAATCTAGGTTGTACTCTCCTAACTGAGCAAGGAAATAGAATTGTCTCTAGCTAGTGGATGATAACATATACAATATATTTGATACATGTATCATGTTCACAACCTTGTCCTGATGAAAAATTGTTTCTTCAGCTCTACTATAGCATGTTTGAAAACAATTTGGCATTACATTTCTTTGAATACTTGGTAAAATTAATCAAAATAGTAAGTCTTAGTCTATAAGCATTACTTCGTTTGGTTAAATGTTGTATATAATTAGTGAGTCATTTTGCTTATTTTTATATGTCTGGTGATAGTAGAGGTTATGTAAGAGGAAATAGGCATCCTTTTTGAGATGTTTAAATTATTTCTAAAAAGAAAGTGTAATCTTCATCATATAGTGGAAAAGGGACTACTATCCAGACAAAGAGACTCATAATTTTGGATTCAAGTACTTAAAAACATCTTAACTTTTACATGGGATATTCAAAATGACTGCAAATTCATTGTAATAATTGAACAACCTGAAGGGTTTAACTTTGTCTGTATTTGGTTCCTTACTTTTAAGATAAATAGCAAAAGAAGTTGTTTTAAGGAAGATATGAATGAATATTGGTCTTCTAATAATACAAAGATCTAAGCTTTATTAGTGTAATTTTACTTAGTTAGGTTTTACTACATAGATTGGTATAATCAATTCCCTCTTGTATTCTGTATTCTTCATTCTCATTGCCTTGTTGTTGATAGGCACTTTATTCTAGGCCATTAGAAGAAATTTTGTAACTGATTCTTTTCTCTTTACAGGTCACAGCAAACATAGTCAAATGAATAAATATAATAGGTAAATCCACTTCAACATTTCTGCATTCCTAAATCTTTATATTTATCCTTTCTAATTTTTATAATAATATTATTTTCTTATTGGAACAAATAATCACTGTCTACAAACCATATCACATGAGACAGCTAATCATGGATTTTTATTCTTGAGGTTTCATTGTCTGAATTCATTTCTTAAATCAAACACTTTTAAGGTCAGAATTAGATTGAAGAAAACAGAAAGAGTGGTAGAGTTTTAAATCAAAACATGCTATAATGCAGAACATCAATTTTTACACAGTGTTTAGAATAGTTGAACAAATATTCCGTAATGACTTTACAGAACTCCAGGAATGACTTTCAGAGTAACATTGCCAATCTGGGCTTATCAAAGATGACATTATCCCTGTATAATTACAAAGATGAGAAATAAGGAATCTTTATATATGATCCAGCCATCAGGAATCTGATATTATCACAAGTGGCTGAACCACTGTTTTGACCCATGGAAGATGTTTGCACCTTACTTTTGACACCCAGAAAAACTCAGGGCTTCCTCAATTATGTTAGAGAAGAGAAACATTGGAAGCAAAAAGCAAAGTCTCCTTTTAAAATCATATGCAAGTCCTAGTTGTAAAATTGTCTGGAAAAACTGCGTTTTAGCTGACTTGCCTCTTCAGTGCAGGTGGACACTGTAGGAGGGTGGAACAGATGCTGAGCCATTCAACCATATTTCATTTTAGATATTTCTAGGTGGGCATATGACATAATTTGTTACTTCAACTCAGTGAGCTCTTTAGATATGATCATATAAATTATTTAGCAGTTCAAAAACTTTCTGCTGCTATTACTGCTTTCCTACCCTTTCACTCACACAGTAAATCCCTTAATTCTGTTTCAAAAGGACTGTAATTAATTTACCTCTTCTAGGACCTAATAAATGACTATTGAAACCAAAATAAATCCTGAAACTCTTGGAAGGATGCTATTGAAGAAGGACATTTCAGAAATTTCATGATATAAAAGAAATGCCATTAAACTAGCAACTGATAAAACCACATTCAGTATAACATTCACATCACAGTAAGTTCTTCCAACATAACAGTTCAGTTTCTGTGTTTCGTAAGAAACAGAAAGTAAGGAAGGTATTGAAGTAGCTAGGAGGAATTAATTTGTAACTTTTGGGAAAATTGCCTCATACTCCCACATATTTTGACTTTTTGTCCCAGATAATATATAGAAATTTTTCTCTTTTTATAATGAAGATAAACTATCAGAAACTTTCATTGCTAGCTAGCCCTATATATGAGAGGAAAAACATGTCAATATTTGCAGGATATTTCCAGCTTCATGAATGAATATAAAGCTTTCTCTGGAGGCATATACAGTAATGTTTATCTCAGTATAATTTGTTGGTGGCCCAAGCTGAAAACAATGCCCATGAACCATAGAGTTAATGCAGAACTACATTATGGAATATTCATAAAATGGATTGTTATGCAGCAATGAAAATGAACTAACTGATGCTATATGGAATGACATGGATGAATCTCAGAAATATAATATTTAGTCAAAGAGTGCATATACATATTAATGCATATTACATGATAAGGGTTATATTAATTTCAAAGATCAAACCTAAATGTTGGTGTTTACATGTTTAGTGATACGTTTTTGAGAGGGTGTGAGAAACATTTGCCTGCTGGATATGAAGGCCCCTTCTCCCAGATTCACTTACAGAGTTTGGCTCTCAGCTCTGTAACACATTCTCTTTTAAACCTCCTCCTTCTTCTTTTTCTTTTTTTTGAAACAGCTTTTTTATTTTTAAGTTTTAATTGGAGGATAATTGCTTTACAATGTGTTGTTTCTTGCTGTACAACAAAATGAATCAGCTCCAAGTATACATATATCCCCTCCATCTTAAGCCTCCTGCACACCTCCCTCCCTCCCACCCCTGTAGGCCATCACAGAGCACTGGATTGAACTCCGTGTGCTATATAGCTGCTTCCCACCAGCTATTTATTTTACACATGGTAGTATATACATGTCAATGCTACTCTCAGTCCGTCCCACCCTCGCCTTCCCCCACTGTATCCCAAGTCTGTTCTCTGTCTGCATCTCTATACCTGTCCTGCAAGTAGGTTCATAAATATTTTTCTAGATTTCATATATGTGTCAGTATATGATATTTGTTCTCTTTCTTAACATACGTAGTAGATACACAGATATTCAGCTTGTGGTAAATCATCAAGCTGTACAATTTAATTTGTGGACTTTTTAAAAATATGGCTGTCTTATGATATAGACATAGTCATAA